AACTTATTTGGCATTAGAGAATATACATTGACAATACATCAAGCCTCATTATTGGTAACAAATGTAATTCCATCATATTTCACATTCCAATATCACTAACGGTTGTTTATATCCATCATATTGATGGACTTTCTGTATCCATACTAGCGCATTTATTTCTTTTTTAATTACATATACACATTATTTCCTGTCATAGAATCAAACTTACACACAAAAACTATTTCTATAGGCACTCTTGAGTTTTCCCCACGCTAAGGTCAACAATCCCCTTAAAGTACAGTCATTCTTCTATTGAAATTAATTATTACAAAACGGAAATAACTAATTCGAAACTTCTATATATATATAGGAATCAATTGAGCTACACAAAAATAGATTTTTCTATTCTTAGAAATTTAATTTACTTTGTAAATAATTCATAATAATAATCAGGACCAAGATACGACATATTAGTTGATGGATTTGCCCATGATAATGTTCTATTTTGATTAAAAAATGTTAAAATAACTGGTAGATCATCTGGTAATCCACTTGTTGTTTGAAATGGAAAAACTCGAGTACGATCATAAAAAACATAGGATGATGATGATGTTGTTATTGGACATGTAGCACGTATTGATAATAAATAATTTTCTTCAGGTTGAAGTTTATCAAATAAAATTGAACATTGCCCATTTGTTATATCAAGTAAAGAATTTTCTTTTTTATTTATATCACATTGACCACGAGATATAATTTTCTATATTATGAAAAAGAAAGAATAACATAAAATGATAAATAAGTAAATAATTATATTTACTAAATTATTATAAACAATTGCTTTGACCTCAATATAAGATAAACATAAATGATGTATAACTGCACGTATTGATCGTGTAGATATTGGTAGAAAATCTACAAGTATTTGTTGAGGATATTTGACAATAACAGGATAATCAACTATTGATTGCCTTTGATCATTGGAAAAGAATAATTGAATCGTACTTGTATATTCAATAAAACTCGTATTTTCATTTGGTAATTCAAGAGAAAATACAATTGTTTTTGCTGTTATTCGACCAATACGAGAAATAATATTATTATCTAATGGTTTGACAATATGATAGGATTCATATTGTTTTTCTATGATAATATAATTAGAACAAAAAATGTCTTTTCTTCCGAAACACTTACGATTGATAGTATATGAAAGAGATATATTTCCCAGAATAGTTGCTCGACGTGTTTGAGATGGTAATGTCACAATATAAAGATGTGTATGTGGAAGAATAAATGATTCAATTTGTTCAACTACTAAAAGATCTTCATTTGTTATAATGACAGCTAAAATACAAAAAATATGATTTATTTATTTTGTCAGATAAGTTTTTACTATTTCGATCTGATGATTGAAGTGTTTGAAAAATATGTGTTGGTAAAAGACGAGAATTTTTTTCATCAGATATTTTGATTATTATTGAATAGTTTTCATTAGGAAATAATTGATCGAAATGAACTGTATTTGTTTGAATATTCTAAAAGGAAATATAATTGGAAACATTGATGTTTTTCTTCTCCTCAACGTTTTATCTACTTCAATTTTTTCTTCAAGTTTATTTGTATGAATGTTTGTTATTACAGCTTCGATATGTATTGATGTACATGGTAAATTAGAAAATAGATTTTTAAATTGAACATTTATTGAGTACGATGTTAATTGTACACGTTCTAATTGACCGAATCCTGGTCGATTAATACTACATAACGATGATGATGAAATACGATTATCTAAATGCATCATTAGGTTTCTTTTTTTTTCTCTCTTTTCAAGTTATTATTTAATGATTACTTGTATGAACAAATTGTTCGTCACTATGGACAACTTTGATGATGATGAAAATAACTAAAATAAATTTGAAAATCGTTATTTTTAAGAATGCATTTTTTTATTTAGAAACTTACTGAAAAATACAAAACTACGAGTCAGCATGTGTAATGTTGATTGCCTAAAACAAAAAATCATTCAATTTTCAATTAGCTTGTCGTTCGTGACACTCACTCCATTCTCTTCTTCTGCTCTCTTCTTACTATCGCTCTTTTGTACGGTACCACATTCATTCATTTAATCGAGTGAGTGAAAGAGCTTCACTTCACCACTTAGCAATTATTCGATTATTATGTTATCAATTAATATCTATCTGTTAGAATTAGAAGAAATATGTTCATTGATTACAATAGACAATCGATTAAGTCATTATCCTTACCAAGTAGTGTCATAACACAATAAAATGTGATAGGTGTTTTTCTAGTGTTTCTTATTAGTAATGTGACAGTGATGCGTTAGTCGAAACATATTTTAATCTATTTCGAAAAACTCCGTTTTTTTTACTGAAATTTTGATTGTATAATTTTTGAATTATTTATTATAGTGATTATGAAACAATAACGACATGATCGAATATATAGCACATATACTAAACAGACGCCACGTTCTCTATTTTCTTTCTTCTTCTCTTTTCTCTCGTCATTGTCGAGTGGAAATATGTAAAGAACCGTAAAATATATATATATATCTATACACACCTAAAATATGTAGTATCATTATCACCTCGATTTCTTCTCGATATTACTGTATTGCTTTTCTTCTTCTTCTTTTTATATAGTTATGAAGATAATCAGTTGCATATTGAGTATTATGCTAGTACTATACTAATGTTGTTGTGCGTGTGTGTGTATGTTTATCGACTTAGCACTACTTTTTCTACCAATACGTCATTAACGCCGTTTTCAAGTACGACCAGCGACTGTTATTATTGTTTTTTTTCCCCTTCTTTTACGAAGGAGATATGTATATCAATTACAGATTGTCTATATAACCACTTCATTAGAGAAAAAGAAATGTTCATCTTTAAAAATACTTTCTATAATACGAATTAATTAAAAATTAAAAACGATCGAATCAAAAAAAAATGTTCTTTTTAATTAACAGCTAGTTTTTACAATTGATTGAATAGTGTAAATGAGACACTGATCGATATAGCTGATGTACAAGTATGTATGCATAGATATGTGCAATAGTAGTAGCAAAAAGCCAATTAACAGAAAGAAAAAGACACCATCTGGCAATATACCAATGATGAGAACAGGAGGATCATGTTATTATGATATATGAGCAAACAACAACTTTTTATCATTTCCAAAAGTACGAAGATCAAGTGGAGAAAAGAGAGAAGAACGTCAAGTCATTATCAACAATAAAAGGATCAGAAAAGCATCGTATAGTCTAGAAAATAGAAGTAATTCGAGATATCAAACTAGTCGATTGAACACATGTGTTTGCTTGTCCATTGGACGACGTCTCACGTATTATACAATATCTACATACCATAAATGAAGAGTGACATGTACAATAGTAGTTATGACGGGTTTTACTAATCGACTCTGACAAGTACCAATAGTAGTAATACTCTATCCATCCATCATTTGATACATTGACTGTTCATTATAAGCTTTTCTTTCTCTCTATTTCTTTTTATGACGTGTCTATGTGTAAACAAGCAATGATGATCTGTATCTGTCTTTTTCCTTTTGTAGAAGTTATAGCAGCATTAGTAGGAAGAAGCTCAACCTTGGTACATATACAAAGCCAAGAGTAACAGTGCCCAGTGGCACACATCCATATTGATACAATCCTCATGTGTGACATTTTGTCAATTACAACATACTTTACAGCTTAGAACATAGATATATCCAACTAAGGCAATGAGACATAGCGTTTCTAGGATCTTTTTTTTT